TGTAGGGTTCGATAAGTAACGCAAAACCTGACGTTCCTTGTTAAGTTTATTTAAAAAAATTTAACGTTTCCAAAGACACTTGTAACCAGTTCGAATTGAATTTAACGATGCCAATAGTTTCGAGTGACACGTGATTCACGATCGCTTATGGATCAATCATTCCGCCATAAATCCATAGTTGAAACGATTACTGTCGTTTCGTTTGTTGGTTTTTGCGCGATTATTAATCGCGGCAAACGGCGAGGAACATGAGGTAACACAACAGCGTGTGCTCTAAGCGAGTTTATCGCGGTTTAAATTATACACCGCCTCTAACCGTTTCAGCAGAACATTCTTTCTTAATGAGCGACTTATTTCGCGTTCGCCGTTGCTCATATTTGGGTTAACGTATGGAGGAATGTTCCCCTATATGCGATCCTGTCGCAGGATACCGACATTTTTTCCACGACGCGGTCACATTATTCATAAAAGTATCGAACAGTCATAAACTTATATCATCATAAACTTATCGGTATCATAAACTTATAATTTTGCGAAAATTAATTTTGTCCATTGCTCGTATCTATTTTAACAATTATTTAACGGACGATCATTAAGGGATATCGGTACTCAGCATGTCGTTGGTAATACTAGCTTACAATTTCCGTCGCCGAGAAATACGATTAATCGATGCAGATCAATCACCACGATGGCAACGATATATTTGCCTTGTAAAGAATTATCACGAACGCGGACACCACTGTAATTACGGAAGACTCGACCACGTACGTGTTCACGTGGGAAACTACGCTCTCGCGTTGGCATACTTTCGTAAACGTTACCCGTATCAATAATTACATCGATTTGATATTTTAACGATTTCCCGAATATCCCACATTCGACACGCTTCTCGAGTAAAGTATCAAATATAACAACGAAGAACTCCCGTAAAATCAACTACCGTATTTTACGGACTATAAAATGCACATTTTTTCGTCGAAAAATTGCCTCCAAATTTCAGGTGTATCTTATGCTCGAAATTAATATAAAAATGTCCAGTGCCTGATGTAAATAAAACTATTTCACTAATTCCTTCTCATCAATGCATTTCGTAAATTCTATATATTTCAAGAATTTAAAATAGCGCTGCATGTTTTAAATTTGACTTTCGACAGACCGTAGAACACGTTCAATGAACTAAAGAGAACCACACAACTCACCCAAAATATCCACCTCGTAAGAGCCATAGTTGCTCCGCATCGAAATAATCATTGATCGTCTCTCGAAGATCACGATCGCTGACGTTTAGCCGGCGTATCGAATCGCGGCGCCATTAGCGGCTTAAAAATCGCGTTCTCTCGTAACACTTCATTCTAAACGTGTTTGTTCTCTCAAATATAAACCGGTCGATCGAGTGTGGCGACTCCGCTGCGATTACGCGCGCCGATTCCGCGCATTACGTCGGGAATCCGTCGAAACGTGACACCAGGTTTCTACAAACGTAGACATTTTTCTTCTTTTTTTTTTTTTTTTCAATCCGACCCGTGCGACGCGTTTTAATAATACCTGATTCTTCGTAGGACGCGCCAGGTGACGCAATCTAGGAAACGACCGCTCGAACGCGAACCAATGATATTTCACCCACGTTCGATAGCCTTCGATTCTATTTCATGTATGTATGGAATGTGTACGCGATGTGTATCAAACTAGCAATTTACATTTACATGCGACAAGTTACCGTTTCCTTCGTTCGATGGTGACGATCTTGCAGGGCAAATGGATAAAAGATATATTCGTGTCGCTTTTAATTGATTTACGAGTTCCGTATTGTTAAATCATAGAAGAAGAAAGAAAGAAAGAAAGAAAGAAGTTACATTGAAATACAAACAAGTATAGCGCTTTGAGGCCCACTATGTCTATCCAACTCTGGTAAAAATAATCTCAGAAATCATAATACTACACAAGTGACATTCCAAATGAGCAGAACGGACTAACGCTACCTTTCCTCCTCATCGTTATTAAACACAATTTACCAGGAAACATTCGTCCACGTGGATTCTTCCAGTTGGAATCATCGAGCATGGATCGAAAACACACTGTAACCCTAACCGAAAAAGAAGTAGAGACTCGTGCGCGCAGCTCTACTTACTCGCGGGATGCTAATTGGAAGAGCAGCCAGCAAACGGAGGTAGCTCAAAGAAAGAGACGAGGAAAGCAAGGGTGGACGAAGGAGAGAGGACGCGAGACCGGTCCAACGCGATCTCTTAGTCGATCTCAACGTCGATCGAATCGTCGCGAACGGTCGTCGAACATCGCTGCTACCGATTTAAACGGTCGAGGTGTCGATGACTACTATCCCGCTTATGCACTTGCATAAACCACCGGGACGTAACGCAGGAAGGAGCTAACGAGCCGCGCGAGCTATAACGGGCGATGATGTCGTTGAGGATAGATCGATCGTAAGAACAGCGCTGAGGAAACTGAGAGTTTCATAGTAAATGCAAGTGATTTAGATGAGTAGTAGATGAGTTAGGAAATGTAAGATTACAAGTAGGGTATGAGAATTGCTGTGGATCATTTGTATTTGCTATTTGGAGGTGGTGGAGCTCTTATCACTCGGATTTTTAGTATTTTAACAGGTGATGATGTCACTGAGTCAACAATCTGATCCGTTATAAGCTGAGACATTAACAATATTAAAAAAAATAAACTCTCGATCCAACACGTTCCAATCGACGAGACGACAAATGTAAGTTTGCAACTAGAGGAAGCAAGTTCCAGTAGATGAAGCGATATCAGCCACTTGGTGTTAACAAATCTCCTAACAATCTCTATCCATAATTCACATTTCATCAGCTCGTCATCGAGTCTCGGATCTGATCGATCGTCGCCTAACAGCGATGAAAGTAGCAAGTTACCGGTAACAAATAGATCCTTGAAATTGATCTGTCCGTCGCTAGATGAGAAAGCATCTGCAAGTTTGCAAGCAGAGAAACCGAGGTTCGATAGATCGGTGTCCATCTATATAGCTACTTGGAACTGACGGATCTCCCGGTAATTGGACTCTCGATAATTCATATTCAACTAATTTAGCAAGCACTTGTCGATGACACGGGATCCGTGGAGACGGACCAGTCGATGGCGGAAGCGTTTTAAGTTCAACACTCGTACCTATCCACCGTAAGAGCTGATGAGTCATTTGCGCAAGCACCGACTACTTTCAAATTATACTCGGCTTCAGTGAAAGTCAACAGAGGAAAGGCAACACGTGTTGCTGCGAATATAAAAATCGCCCATGAAACCAGACGCAAAGCCAATACCATCTAGCACTCGAACAGGAGAAATATCGAATCATGCATTCGAAGTGGATGGAATTCCTGCAGCGAATGAATCATTTCATAATAGGGGTAGGTAATGTTTTCTGTAGCAATGTCAAGGTAGAAGCAAGTGAACACCTTTGAATTCAACAACGCCTGCTGCACAGTAGAAACCTCATTCGTACCCAAACACATTCATCGACCAAAAAACTGGGTCTACACAATTGCCACGCATTCGATCCAAAGAAAAAACAAAGATACAAGTTCCCAGTAAAGCTTAGTTCCGATTGTTCCGTCTGTCATCGATACGTCTCGGGCGGTGAGACAGCAGAGCGGATGCTGTAAACAAAGAGGCGACAGGCAGTCCACTCGGAGGCTGCGATCGAACGAAGACAGCATCGCTGCTGGCGGAGGGGAATTATCGAATGGTAAAGAGGAAGAGAAGTTTCAAAGAGTCAGCCAGGAGAGAGAGAGAGAGAGGAAGAGCGGAGAGTACAGCTGGTATCGGCGACGGTGTTCGCAAAGGTGGACGAAGCCGCGATGGTGATACCGATGCCATCGGCCGTGGTAGCGCACAGTGGTGGTGGACGTCGATGACTGGCGGTGGTGGTGGTCGAGTGAACGTCGATGGTGGTGGTGGTCCAGGGCCCCAACACTTGCTCTTAAGAGAGATTTGCCCCCTCCTGCCGCGGGCGGCGCCACTCGAGGAGATCCTTTCCTCTTTTCGCCTCTAGGCCATTCTCGAGAGGCGCGCGCGGCAACTCGGTGTCGCACGATCGGTCCTCGTCGACCTTCGACCAATACGCGCGCTTGTACGTGCCTGTAGCAGCTTTTCCCGGGTGACTTTTCCGAAACTGACGCGACACGCGCTCACCTGGCTGAACTCGTGGCCGGTAACACGACTGGCCCCGCGGCCGTCCTTGCCCCGACCTTCCCCTCCGCCCCCACGTGACACCGGTCGACCACGTGACTGCCATCGGCCGTCGGGATCTTCGGTCGTGGAACGTCAACATCCGTCGCACTGCCCCAGGGATCCTTCGACACTCTCGCCCGAGGATGTCTCAGCGTGGACGTTGATCGACCCTGTTACTGTTACGAAATCGGTGCTTTCGTGACGGGTTCCTGGACAAGCTGACGCGTGTTATCGTTCTTCCAGTGTTATCGATGTTCCAGGACTTGGAAATAGTTCCTTGGTAATATCGAGCAACCATCCATCGGACTAGTGACAGTTTACATGTTTCACTCCCCAGCTTGAAAACTCTTCGAGGGTTAAAGTTTCGATACTCTTCGTATCTGGTGCAAGTGCGTCGATGTTAACCACCGAATGGACGTTTCGTAGGTGGTCACCCGTTGCGCAAACAAATGACAGCGAACGCGCCGTTGTCACGTTTACAGAGGGTCTCGTAGAATGCGTTCAACGAACGCACCGAAGACAAGCGCGATCGCGAGTAAAAGAATACGAGGCACCTCCGTCGAGGAACAGGATCGTCGAGCCGCCATGCCGACAGGAAGTGCACGCGAGCCGATCGGTGCAATCTCGTTACCGATAGCCGTCCTGGAGTCTATTCCACGGTGAAATCAGGCCGTGTCTCGAGCGTCTAAGCTGAATGTGAGAACGGTAGCCGGCGAGGAACGTACAAACGAGCTCGCCACGTGACTGCTCGGAACTGGCTGCGTTTTTGCGTCGCTGTAGACCGTCTGGGTTCAGCTCCCCGCGATCTACCGCGTTTCAGTCGGAATCACCGACGAATATCTGAGATTCCGCGTGCTTTCGAGAGTGTCCTCGTTTCTCGAGACATTCGCAGTGTCCGCGACTTCGAAATTTTGCGGAGAACTGCGAACTTTCGATGCTTGATACTTCGATGCAAGGGGAATATCATTTTCTCGAGCGTTTAAGGTGCGAAGGGATCGTTGATGCAATTTGGTGGGATTTAATTACGCGGGGAAGCCGCGTTATTAAGTTGGGAAGGGGACCGAGCCGAAAGAATTCAGGTTTCCTGCCGTCATCGATCAGCGAAACCGGTGGAAAGCCGGGAGACTTTAATGTCCGCGCAGGCGGGATCGTTTTACGTCTGGTTTCGAAGACTCGGCCGCTCGGGCGCGTTAAAAAACGATCGTTTCGCGAGGAAACCGCTTCATCGCGACGAAATACTGGTTCGTGCGAGCTCGAGGAATATTCCAGCTCGAACTGATCAAGGCAACGAGGGACTCTGAATTCTCTAATCTTCACGGTCGGATTGTGCTGAACTGGATAGAGCTCCACGTGCACCAGCGACGTGACAGTTGGATTGCGATTCTTGAGAACCGGATTGGCTGGAATCGTTCATCTCGACGGAATCAGTGCCGCAGAAATACTCGAGTTAAATTGGATTAATGAAAGCTGGAACTAAATACTCGTAGCTAGATTCTAGATGGAAGAATGTTTTGTGCTTCTTTGCAGATTGGTTAAAACTGCCTGTATCAATCCGCGTGGTCTCGACGGAATCACGAGTGTCTGCATTCGAGTTCAAACGAATCGATTTTACACTGCGAAGAGCATCTTCAACGTGTACCATCGTCGTGATACTTGATATTCGTGGAATCACGAGCGCGTAAGGAATATTCGAGTTTAAATAGAACCATTCGAGTTGAAAGCAGGGACTGATTACACCCGTACCTTTCCACCTAGAAGAGTGCATCGTTCACTTAAATCGCAGACCAGTGGAGCTTCTCTGAAGCATCCCGAAAGCATCGGAGTTTCACTGAACACGAGCGTTGGGCAACAGGTGTTCGCGCCACGCTGGTCGTTCCAGCGACCTGCGCCGAAAGGAAAAAGAGGGTCAAGCTCGTTTGGAAAATTGGACGCGGTCCTGTTCGACGGCGAACGGGGACCGTTACCGAAGACACGGCTGATTCATCGGTCCATTGTCTTCGAGCGTGCTCGAGAGGATCCTCGGTCGATCGCGAATACTGTATCGTTGATCATCGTGCATCGCTCCGGTCGACGTTGCGTTCGCAAAGAGAAAGTGATTAATAATAAGGGCGTGTAAGAGTTCCGTGACGGAGGTTCGTGCGCGCGTGCAAGTGGAATATAGGAACCAGCGAACAGGTTGTTTACATGGTTCCGTTGCCGAAGAAACGGGAGAAAACGGAATCGAAGGGAGAATCTATGAACCTGCATCCGTACTCACTCGAACAGTGGAGGTGCCCCGTCGCCTCCTTTCGGCTGACACGCGGTGACCCGTCGAAGAAGAGACGCCAACGTCCGCGAATTCCGGTGATCGAGGCAGCGTCCGCGGCAGCGCTAGGAAAAGTGGCTCATCATGTCCGTGCTCGAAGCTGGTGAAGCCGACAGGACGACTATGTCACCTCTGGACGAAGTCGTGTCCCCGACGAGCGTCGAGTCGGAACTGATGGTCACCGACATGTTGGACGAGCACGAGACCACGTTGAACGAGCACAGGGACGGCAAGCGAAAAAGAGACACGGACGGCGAAGAGCTCACGCCTAGGAAACTGCCGTCGCTGACGAGGAACAACAATGACGTGGGATTCGTTCTCGAGGAGAACGCCGACGACGATCTGCACGAGGACAGGGACGACGTAAGTTGGAGTTACTTTTTCTTTTCGAGAGATCGAGACGACCTCGAAGAAGGTTGTTGTTAATTTCGCATAATTTCAATACCAATATGTAACATATTATGTGTATATTTTTATTTCACCACAATTTTTGTAACAATAGAGTCGCTACCCCTTTTAGCTGAACGAAGGAAACGCTATCGCGCGGTTAAGCGAATTAAATCATGGAACACGATGTAACAAATGTAACATCGGTTAACTGTCAGAAAAACCAAAACCGCAGCATACAATAGCGTCGCGTGTAAAATGTAAACCCTTCTCTTAAAACTTGAATACACATAACCGAAACGTGACCACAGTGTCGAAGACCAAAATTAAAACGCACACGGTAGACACAACAGGCGAAGAAATTAATTCTGTGCTCTCCTATGGTAATGTTAGAAAATCATAGAACTTTCAATCTCATAATCAAAATGTTGGTACTTTAACGTGACTAAATGGCTATCGAACATTTTTATTTACATTAGAGTTATAAGCAGTATATCGATTTGAACGAACCATATGAATGATAAGGGCTAACCTGGAATTACAAATGCACGAACGTAAAGGCCCAGAATTAATTTCTACGCCAAATACTTCGTAATCGAAGTACAGTTTTCGCTAAACTTGCGACAGGCTCGCAACCGCGCGTTATCGTAAAACGAAACTGAAATCGCTGTTAACAGCGCTGGTAGGGGGTGACATTTTATTCCCCCCGTGGCAATTGTAATGACGCGAAAGTCGAATACATCGAATGCCGTGACGAAACTTGAGAAGACACCACACCACGGTAACGTTTCAATGACATTTATCCTCTTTTAAAGCGTACTCCATAACCCCTCTTCGACGGGCCCTGACTCTCAAACTACATTGCGTAGAAACTAAATTCTCACGTGGCAAGTGAAAGAGCAGCTGTCGGTCGAGGTGTCCGCCTACGCACGGGTTATACCTGTTTCGCTATCGCGAACGTATTCAACTCTGACACACGACAACAAATCAGGTGCTCGGATCCAGGACTATAATAAAACGAAGCTATTGGCGCGTCATCTTTACGGTCCAGGAAGCCCCGGCGAACGCGCGGAGGTCTCCTTATTTAGTGAGCGCCTTTTCGTTAACGTCGAACCAGACGGTCGCCGATAGGGATCTGTCGATTTACCTTAGAAATCTCGTTTTCACCGCGTTCGAATCGAATTATGGCGGCAATTGTTGTCCTCTCGCGGGTCTCCCAGGCCTTTATTTTAGCTCGTGATATGCTAAGGGTGTCGAAGCTGTTAAAAACCTCGATCTCGCCTAGCGATTGCCTTCGAGTCTGTGGCAAAGTTATCGCGGAACTTTTGTACTCTACCCTGGCGTCGAGAGGCTTTACTTGTAGACCGAAGTCATCGAGCACGTATTGGTATTCATTCCTACGCCGTTACGGCCCGGTGATTGCTGTCGTAAACCCAATATGATCTTTTGCCTACGAGCGTCCATTAAATACTTCCTCGGTAACAACAATAACCGAGGAAAAATTAAAAACAATATTCCTGCGTTTATTGCGCGGTCTGGGCGCGTTTCGACAATGCCGCGGGAAGCACCGACGCACCGAACAACCGTTGAACGAGACAAGGCGGTAAATCTCGGCTCCTCTAAAATTCCATTTTTATTCCTCGCTGCTCCTCGACGCCGTCATACTTTCCAAGCAAATTTCTCGCTAGCCATAAAATCCTCGAGGCTTTCCAAAACTACTTAACCCGACTGTTCGCTCCTAATGGCCGGGGTATATTATTCGCGCGCAGCCTCCATCGATCGACGCGGGATTTTGGTTTCTTCTTCGCTTTAGGTCCAGTCATGGATTTAATTGTGGATTGGTTCTTTTTGCATTTATTTTATTTTACACACTTGCCACCGTGTTTACAACCGCACATGTCGCAGCGTCCGCGACCAGGGAGTTACGCGTAGATCAGAGCGGTTGCATCGCGCATCAGCACGCGGCTAATGGAATCTCTAATGGCGTACGTCGGATCGCTGAGATCGGCATCGAATCGGTCGTCAGCGGCCGAGGTAGATACAGGATAGCGCCAAGTCGCGTCTCAGGATCGCGCGTAGATTTTTCCTGAAACCCGTTTCCGTGACCTCGTGCTCGGTCTTGTATCCTACGACAATCCCGCTGCCTACGCGCGTCGGCCTGGCCACCGTCCCCGTTTTCGAGTCGGACGATCGTAAAATCCGAACGCCGGAGGAGGAGCACCCCCGACGATCGCGTATCTCGACCGCGAACTCGCCACGGGCGTGTTTCTTGTAGCAATTAGGCCGTTCGTACCGCGCCAGAGGTATCGTCCTGCCCGATCAAGACAATAAATTCCAGATCATCGTTTCGGAGCGACAGCGACGTCGCTCGATCTCGCGGCTGATTAGTCGCGCGTCACGGGTCTAGCGTTACCTGACCAGCGTTTGCTGGAACAGAGATTGGCACACGTTTTGGGACGTGTTTTTGATGTAGAAGCTTAGCATGGGGTTGAGTAGAGGGTCACGCGCTATTTTTCGAATTTTTTAGAACTTTTTTTCAGTGGGAGGTAACGAGGCATAAATTGAAGAGAAAGTTTATTCAAATTTGGTAATTTTAGATGCATATTGTTTCGGAAATTATATTTGAAATTCATTTGGAAATCTATTTGGAAATGATGAAATAGGGGGATGTATACTATACTATACTATATTATATACTATATACTATACTATAATTTAATCTCGCTGTCAAGCAACTTTTCCTTGCTCAGCTTCGCCTGCGTTATCGCCCAAGCCTCTAGCAAGTCAGCTTCACCTCGAAACCTTCGGAATAATAAAATGGTTCGCGCCGCGCCAGTTAAAGGCTCTGGAATGTATAAAGAAGCCATAAAGAATCTCTCCGCGAAGGTCTACGCGTTCATACCCAGAGAGAGGTCTTCCAGCCTGCACCGGAAGGGATAATAGGCGAATATCATCAAATGTCGAGGTTTCTAGCGTTAGGTCGCCGGCTATTTATTTACACACAATCACGCGGTGCGTCGATGTCGCGTTCTGTTGTGCACGATCGGCTTCGGGGGGAACACGTTTACCCCGATGCCAATTCCAGGATCCGTAGAATAGGCATCGAGGATTCCATTAGCCGTGTTTCCAGTCGGAGCGCGCGTAAAAATCATTCGTAACCGTTCCTGGCGCGATTCTTTCGCGAAGGAAACAGGCATCTCGTCGAATTTACCGTTTCCCATTGGCACGCACGTAGATCAATTTATTGGGACACCGAGGGGATGTGTCCCGATGAATCGTGACGATTTAGAAAATGAAAAAGCACGAGGCACGCAGATATTGTTTCCTCCTCTGCCATTGGTAGAACAGGATATGAAGGCAAGATCCGTTGGATAATCTGTGACAATATCGACCTTTTCTTAGATATTACTTAATAAAAATATTTTTAAGGCCTTAAGCAACAAGAACGTAAGCAAAAATCAATTTTTCGACTCAGAAAGAAGAGTACCTCCCTAGTGATACGTACCAAGCAATGAAACTTCATCCTAGTCGGTACAAATAAACGCAGTCGAGCCATTAAACGAGGTGTTATAAATCTACGGACGTTTTAAGGACTCGCACTGTCGCGATAAACCAACAAGTCCAAAAGGATTACTTCGCGCTTGGCGCACCACTGTCGTAAATTGTCAAACCGACTCCAGTCGCGTAGAACGGAAATTAAATATTAAAATGTCATTGAATAGAGATTAACCAAATCAAAATTACAAAAAAATATATATATATATAAAAGCCAATTCTAATCCATCCCCATCGACCAGTTTTCGGTAAATTTCTAACGTGTTCCTTGCTGGCAGTAAACACCGGGTTTGATCGTCGGGGAAATCCCCGACTGACAGTTTTGACACAAGCTAGTAATCGCCGTTATAAAGTTATACGAACGATTTAAAGGTGAGTCTAGCACACCTTTCACGTTGTACTGGATACGACGTGTAGGAACACGTGGATTTCATTCCAGACTCTCCCGGAGCTCGATCACCTCGGTTAGGGGCATACACGCGTTACTATTCCTTTTAATAGTGCTTAAATAGAGGTATTTCCAGTAGGCAGTAAATATCTGTAGTTCAAATTCTCGGTGACCTCGAATCCTGTTCGCAATTGTCAGTCTTTTAATTAACTAGTCGCCACGAAGGTTGGGTGCTTTTTCTCTTATTTCGTAGGCGGGGAGACCTCACACAAGGTGTGGCAATATCAATTGCGCTCCGAAATAACCCGTTTATGATAGGTTTGATAGCAAATAAATTTTCTATAATAATTATCTAGCAAGCGATCTTCCTGGGCAAGAGTTAACCTCGATTTGTAAAGCCATCCAAACCTCTCGGGGATGCCTCTGGGATAGGGATGTTCGCTAGTCGCGACACCGCGTGTCGGTGAATCCATCATCGGCGGTCGTAGACACGAGCGTCTGTCGTTAACGAATGTTCGTCGAAGCTTCACCCTTCCCGAACAACGAATTTTCCAGGGGAAAATTCCAGCCACGAGACACGGTAGTCGAAAGGCCAAATATAAATCAGCCGTGGCATCTTAGATAATGATAGGCATGCGCGATGCTCATATTCGCCGGTCGAGACGGTTGATATATTGTTTGGAGGCTTCCGAAGGTAGTAGTTAAAATTCCTGGCGAATGATAATCCACCGGCGACTGCGTTGGCGAGCCGATGCGTGCACACGATTTCCGGGCTAACGCTATAAGCTGGATCGTTACGGCTGCTCAGTGCCGAGTAATCATCGATCAGTGAAATTACACGCTTCCGTTCGATTTTCCAGAGTCGATTCCCTCGTCGATTCGAGGTGGTCTGGGTTAAATACAATCGTCATCGTATGTTCGGTAAACGTTACAGATTTGGTCCAAGAAAAATTTCATTCGGTTTCGTAATTCCCTGTTCCGTCGCAAGCAGAGAATTGAGACATCGAGCGATTCTGCGCGCAGGTACTTTACC